CGCCTCCCCCCGCCTCCCTCCCGTCCACCACCTTCCCCCCCCCCCCCCCCCCCCCCCCACACACACACACACACTCCACCTAATTCAACATCAGCTCACCACCATGGGGATTTGGGTCTGTAGCTCCAACGGTTGCTTAGCAACAGTGACAAGAAGCCTGCCTCTTCCATTATGTGCGATCTGCTCTGGTTTTCTGTCTTACAGCAAGCCCAGCCCAAACAATGACTCATTCAACCAGATTTCTACCGCTGCTGATATCTGTGTCAACTGCAAACAGCAGGTGTGCTGTTATCACGTTATTCTGAGCTTTATCGGACCTTTTACCAACACCCCGTCCACTCAAATAGGACAGACCTCAGAGTGTAAATTCTGCCTCCTGGAAAATAAGGATCCTGGAAAGCTTTGGACTTGATTCCAACTGTTAGTTTAGTAATGAGTCCAAATTTGCTTTTATATTTCACGTGCTCATATTCATTTCTATAAAGCATACAAATTGTTAAGCATACCTGTTTGTATAGTTCCAAGAAACAGAAAAAGGTCACAGAAGAAGCTCGTTCACAAAAGCTAACATCTTGATTTGTTAATTTACCTTTTTAATTCAGTTAGCTAAAATTAAAAAGCTTTAGCTGCAAAGTCAGGGATATTTCAGTGCATATATTTCAGTGCATATATTTCAGTGCGGTCATAAATCAACAGCTCTGACTTTGTGTAAATTAAGTTTCAGTGGCTGCGTTGCCCCGAGGCTGACAGTGTTTGGACAGCTCGCTTTTGTCCAAACAGAAAAACTGCTGAGTGAATTTCATCGCCCTATATTTTTATGATGACATATACACTTTCTGCTTCAGTGAGGTTCAGATTTTAATAATAACAGTCTCATGAATATCATCTGTGGAAGCCCATTGCCGCCATGAAAGAAAAAAAATGAAAGCCCAATAGGAAGTCATAATTTTGACTTTAAAAGTCATAATTACAAGAACAAAAGTCATACTTATGCGTTTTAAAGTCGTAATTATGACTTTTATTCTTGCAGTTATGACTTTAAAACTCAATTATGACTTCCTGTCAGGCGTTTATTTCATAGCAGAAATGGGCTTCGACACTAAATGTGGCGATGAAAAGATGTATACATTACACACCTTTATTTAAAAGAATTGATGTTTGAGCAGAGGGACATACATTGAATGAATGAATCCATGTGCTATGCAGGAAAACTACCTGTGTCTGACAGGAAGTTGCATCTCTGTAGAGTCACGGTGTCCGGCAAGGGACAAACTTCTAAATTAAATTAGAAAACTATGACTTTAAAACTCAAAATTATGATTTTAAAAGAAGATATTATGACATTTACTCCCATAATTATGACTTTACAACACAAAATTATTACTTTTATTCCCATAATTATGACTTTAAGAGTCGAAATTATGACTTCCTGTTGGGCTTTTATTTGTTCTTTCATGACAGAAATGAGCTTCCATACTCGGCTGTTGTGAAGCAGGCCAACATTGTTAAAGATGAAGAAATCCGATCGAATCTTACAAGTCGTGCACCTTCATCTCTGTCCACTCATATACAGTTTTATCTTGTAGCATGACAACAAAGTCCATGCTCAATAATCCTAATCTTGTAGCATGATTTCACTTGTTAATAATATTAAAGTATGTTCTTCCAATAGATAAAACAGAAGTTTTTTAAAAAATAAGACGTTTTTATCATTTCAAAATGTCTAAAACACCTCAGTTTGTTTTAAGAAGCCTTGTCACCCTGCATCAAATTAATTTTTTGTGTCCTTCAGATATATTGTGTGTGCACCGCTGCTTTTTCAGTTCGGAAATAAAAACACATTTAGAGTTCCTTTGCTGCTGAAAGAGGAAATAGCACCAAAAACAGTGAAGCGTCTTCATCTTCTGCTTTTTTTTTTTTTTTTTTTTTGGATAAATAACGCCCTGGTTCTTTCCCTTACTGATATATTTACTTATAAAGCATTCAACTGGCGGACCGCGAGCCATTTCTGGCCCGCAGTTGACTTCAACCTGGCCCATCAATGACTTTATTTTTTTATTTTTTATTTTTTAGGTTCTGGGTTTGGGTTCCGTTTAGCGAATTTATGATCCAGTGTAATAAAATAAACAAATCTAAAAGGGAACAGATCATTGTAAAACTTGGTTCATTTATATAATGACTTTAACCGCTGAACATCCAGCCCCTGAGCTGCTGGCTTTCAGATACT